ACACACACACACACACACACACACACACACACACACGTTAGTTATTAAAGATGAAAGTTAAATTTTTTAAGCCAGATTTCTCGATGTGATTCTTCTTCAATTATTAATTCTGTGGTCTCATGATAAAAATTATATTTTGTAAACATAACATTCATTAAGAATTAACTACAATAAAAGTAGTATCTTATTATAATTCTTATTTTCATAATTTACTTATATGAATATACTTTAATTGATTATAAAGAAGTTCATTGATTAACTGAATTAAAGAAGTTCATAGATTAACAGATAGAATGCTAGAGAGATGAAAATGATATGATAAGATAAAATGTATTTTCAAAGGTAAAATTAATATTTTTTTAAAGATAATACATTAATAAATACGATAAACATTAAGTAATTTTTAATAAATTGAATATTTACCTGTTGTACAAATATGTGTATACTTTTATCATTAAATTTTCCTCTTCACTGCAATCCCAGCTTTATAAAAGAATATTTTCTTCAAATATATTCAGAAGAAAAAAGAGAACAGACTGATAATGCTAAAAATAAAAAATACATGTATGTACACATATAAAGGTAAAAATTAATTATTTACTGATGCTTCTTAATAATGCGAATGAGAGACGTATATATGTAATTGAAAACATGATAGAGCAGGATAAATTATCACGCTGAACAAAAAAACATGTAACGTCATAACTGTCATTAAAAATATAAACAGCTCAATTAAAAAACTTATTACTAGATTCTTTCTAAAGTGGCAACTACGAGACGAGAACCCGGAAGCGATCTAGAGTAAGTAGAATGCTATAAAGAAAGTAGTATAACTAAATTACCGCGATAGTACCGATAGACCTAGATCGCTGGTGTATGAATTCACGATAAAATCACAGTAATCGTGAAATTAAATAAATTATATGATCAATAAATTAGTTTTTTTCATTAATAATTTCTAAAAATAATATGAATTATTGTGCGCAAATACTTTTCAATAACTTACCGTTAATCCATAAAATGTCAAAACTCAGGCGAGCCGTTTCACAAGAAAAATAAAGGAACTAAAGTTTATTTAATAACATTTTTAAGCTAATATAATCGGATTCTAATGCGTGTGTATGTTACAATGCAAAAAAAATATAAACGTCTTTACATTTTCGTTCGAGATTTACAAGAATTCTTAAAGTACGCCGCTACAGACATATCGGCGTAAAACATACGCGACCGACTGACAGTGTACTGATTATGTCGGATCAACATACGATACAATTGTACACGTGACACACGCACCATAGTGGTGCTCAATATGTAACATTCACGGAAATCACGAATCTGAAGAAAAGACTTATCAGAGATAGATTTCTGTCGAAATTACGTTTAATAAGTCCAACGTATTAATTGTTTCTGAAACTTTCTTTACATAAAAAATAATCAGTCGTATTTTTACAAGAATGAAAAATTGAAAAATTAGTGAAAATGTCAAGAATCACTGTCGATCACGTGTGATCTTTTCAGAATCTATGGAAATCTTCAATACAAAACCTTACATACATATATATTAGGCCTGAATCTATAAACCGGAGTATTTCGTATCCCATAAATAAATTTAAAAAACACAAGTAATAATACATATAAACAAATCACTGTTTAAATTTTCTATTCTAATTTTAATTTAGAATTTTATTCTAATTTCAATTTGAAAATACTATTTGAATTTTTTTTCAGATTTTGTCAAACGCAATGTCGAATACGAAAGAATTACTTATACCTAATTCGTAATAACTACAAAGATGTTTAGAGAATAAGAATTAATATTTGTATAATCTATCTAATTTTTCTCAAGGATATGAAATAACAGTACATGTACATATATCAGAATAATATACGCAATACATTTCCAATTGGAATATTGGAATATTTCTGGTTCATGGATTTATATAATGAAATCCAATATGTAATATTATGATAATACTTTATGTAACATTATTTCTATTTTACAAAGATGTATACAAATAGCTCTATTCTAGTCTACTTTTAATTGAAATTTTACGATTTTACGATTCATTAAATGATAAATGTTCAAAGCTTGGTTTACATAAAGAAAAAAGTATGTAATTGTACATTAAACTTTTCTAAATATTGAGAATCGCTGATTTTCTAGCAGACTACTTTCTCTGCCGCGAAATTTCATTTTGTCAAGAAGCTCTTATCTAAGGTTCTTATCTATTATTTGCTGTTACTGCAGCATTATCAATCACTTTTAATAACGTTATTGAAGTTTATAACATTGGGAAGTTCCTTCAATTATTTTAATGAGTTTTTATTTATAAATGATTATGTTTTTATTTTTTTTTTAGAAAATCCTATTTCATGTTAGTTTAACTGATATCAAGGCAAGCACATCTATTTTAAAGAATTTATAGTCAGTAATATAAAGAAAGATATTAACGAATAAAAAGAAAGCATGTACAATGTTTCCAAAGGTGATACTTGGACGTATAGAATGAATGGTATATGCAAAATTTAATTTAGCCATTTCTTTGATGGCAGCACTAGTATAAACGTGTCATACGTCAAAAACAGTAAGTGTATATACATCAAACAAATTTTTTTATCACAGCCTGTTCCTTGTACATTCGGTGAACCTTTAAAAAGTATATTTATGTTATATGGCTTATAACGCACTTATTTCATCATTTACAATTGGAATTTTAGATCTACTAGAACAGAGAATCTAATTCGCCTTAAGCGCACAGTGTTCCACACTTCAAATGCTATTCGATAATAAATACTTCTTCAGACTAGTCATTGTTGACGTAATTATACTATTGCGTAAACATTTTTAGATGTAATAATATATTGTTTTCCGTTCGCTGCGATCAAAATATTTGTTAAGTGTAACATAACCTATTCAGAGTTAAAAATAATATAAAAATCTTTTTGTTTTTTAATATTTT